GTACACCTCATATACCCCGTACACAGCGTACACCTCATATACCCCGTACACGGCGTACACCTCATATACCCCGTACACGGCGTACACCTCATATACCCCGTACACGGCGTACACCTCATATACCCCGTACACGGCGTACACCTCATATACCCCGTACACAACAGCATACACCTCATAGATACCCCGTACACAGCGTACACACCTCATATATACACCTACACCATCATACCCCGTACACAGGCATACACCTCATATACCCCGTACACGGCATACACCTCATATACCCCGTACACGGCGTACACCTCATATACCCCGTACACAGCGTACACCTCATATACCCCGTACACGGCGTACACCCCATATACCACCCCGTACACGGCATACACACCCCATATACCCCGTACACGGCCCGTACACCTCATATACCCCGTACACGGCATACACCTCATATACCCCGTACACGGCGTACACCTCATATACCCCGTACACGGCGTACACCTCATATACCCCGTACACAGCGTACACCTCATATACCCCGTACACAGCGTACACCTCATATATACCCCGTACACGGCATACACCTCATATACCCCGTACACAGGCATACACCTCATATACCCCGTACACGGCGTACACCTCATATACCCCGTACACGGCGTACACCTCATATACCCCGTACACGGCGTACACCTCATATACCCGTACACGGCGTACACCTCATATACCCCGTACACGGCGTACACCTCATATACCCCGTACACGCATACACCTCATATACCCCGTACACGGCATACACCTCATATACCCCGTACACGGCATACACCTCATATACCCCGTACACGGCATACACACCTCATATACCCCGTACACGGCATACACCTCATATACCCCGTACACAGCATACACCTCATATACCCCGTACACGGCGTACACCTCATATACCCCGTACACAGCGTACACCTCATATACCCCGTACACGGCGTACACCTCATATACCCCGTACACGGCATTACACCTCCATATATACCCCGTACACGGCGTACACCTCATATACCCCGTACACAGCATACACCCTATATACACACACCCGTACACGGCACACCTCATATACCCCGTACACAGCGTACACCTCATATACCCCGTACACAGCGTACACCTCATATACCCCGTACACGGCATACACCCCTATATACCCCGTACACAAGGCATACACCTCATATACCCCGTACACGGCATACACCTCATATACCCCGTACACGGCATACACCTCATATACCCCGTACACGGCGTACACCTCATATACCCCGTACACAGCATACACCTCATATACCCCGTACACAGCATACACCTCATATACCCCGTACACAGCATACACCTCATATACCCCGTACACAGAATACACCTCATATACCCCGTACACAGCATACACACCTCATATACCCCGTACACAGCATACACCTCATATACCCCGTACACGGCATACACCTCATATACCCCGTACACAGCATACACCTCATATACCCCGTACACAGCATACACCTCATATACCCCGTACACAGCGTACACCTCATATACCCCGTACACAGCGTACACCTCATATACCCCGTACACGGCGTACACCTCATATACCCCGTACACAGCGTAATACACCTCATATACCCCGTACACAGCATACACCACCTCATATACCCCGTACACAGCATACACCTCATATACCCCGTACACAGCATACACCTCATATACCCCGTACCCCGTACACGGCGTACACCTCATACATACCCCGTACACAGCATACACCCCATATACCCCGTACACAGCATACACCTCATATACCCCGTACACAGCGTACACCTCATATACCCCGTACACAGCGTACACCTCATATACCCCGTACACGGCATACACCACCCCGTACACGGCGTACACCCCATATACCCGTACACGGCATACACCCCATATACCCCGTACACGGCATACACCCCATATACCCCCGTACCCACACGGCATACACCTCATATACCCCGTACACACGGCATACACCTCATATACCCCGTACACAGCATACACCTCATATACCCCGTACACAGCATACACCTCATATACCCCGTACAAGGCATACACCTCATATACCCCGTACAAGCATACACCTCATATACCCCCGTACACAGCATACACCTCATATACCCCGTACACGGCATACACCCCGTCATATACCCCGTACACGGCATACACCTCATATACCCCGTACACACAGGCATACACCTCATATACCCCGTACACAGCATACACCCCATATACCCGTACACGGCATACACCCCATATACCCCGTATAACGGCATACACCCCATATACCCCGTACACGGCATACACCCATATACCCCGTACACAGCATACACCCCCATATACCCGTACACGGCATACACCTCATATACCCCGTACACGGCAACACCTCATATACCCCGTACACGGCATACACCTCATATACCCCGTACACGGCATACACCTCATATACCCCGTACACGGCATACACCTCATATACCCCGTACACAGGCATACACCCCATATACCCCGTACACAGCATACACCCATATACCCCGTACACAGCATACACCCCATACCCCGTACACGGCATACACCCCTCATATACCCCGTACACGGCATACCCCGTACCGGCATACACCCCATATACCCCGTACACGGCATACACCTCATATACCCCGTACACGGCATACACCTCATATACCCCGTACACGGCATACACCTCATATACCCCGTACACGGCATACACCCCATATACCCCGTACACAGCATACACCCCATACACAGCATACACCCATATACCCCGTACACGGCATACACCCCATATACCCCGTACACGGCATACACCCTCATATACCCCGTACACATACACCTCATATACCCCGTACACGGCATACACACCCCATATACCCCGTACACCCGTACACCCCATATACCCCGTACACAGCATACACCCCATACACAGCATACACACCATATACCCATACACCATACCACATACACCCCATCCACCCCATACGCTCTCTCCTCATTTCCCCCCACAGCATCACTCTCCACATACACCCCCCCCCCACCGTCTCTCTTTTCCCCCCCCTCGCTCTCTCTCTCTTTTCCCCCCCCCCCGCTCTCTCTCTCTCTTCCCCCCCCCTCACTCTCTCTCTTCCCCCCCCCCCCCCTCGCTCTCTCTCTTCCCCCCCCCCTCGCTCTCTCTCTCTTCCCCCCCCCCCTCGCTCTCTCTCTCTCCCCCCCCCCCTCGCTCTCTCTCTTCCCCCCCCCTCGCTCTCTCTCTTCCTCCCCCCCCCCCCTCGCTCTCTCTCTTCCCCCCCCCCCTCGCTCTCTCTCTTTCCCCCCCCCTCTCTCCTCCCCCCCCCCCCCCTCTCTCCTCCCCCCCCTCCCCCTCTCTCCCCCCCCCTCTTCCTCTCTCCTCCCCCCTCTTGCTCTCTCGTCTCTCTTCTCCTTGCTCTCTAGTCTCTCTTCTCTCCTCTCTCTAGTCTCTCTTCTCCTCTCTCTAGTCTCTCTTCTCTCTCCATCTGGTCTCTCTTCTCCCCTCTCCTTCTTTATTGTATCAACAGAAAACTAATGCAGCCAACACATGTAGAGACTGGTAAACTGCAGTATATTTATTGTGTGTGTGTTCGGGGGAATATATTTTATTGTATTTCAGATGCAGTTTTCAATCTTTTAATCTGCAGTATTTATTAAGTGTATCCTGAAGACACCACCATACATGCACCATAGACATTTCAATGTAGACCAGAAGCATCTATACCAGCCATACCCAGTGGAAAGCAGATCCAGAACAGCGTTGGTGGATGGGAGGGGGGCAGGGAGGAAAGCCACCATGTTAAGTTTGGAAAAAAAAAAATGGCTCCATGTAAGCACAGAACTATTGCAACACTGAGAGTGGACTAGGTGGTTATAAACAAGGTCGACTCTCCAATTCTGAAATCGATCTGAGAGAGGAAATGGTGAAATAAAGAGCTGTAAATGTTTACAATTTTTGTCACTTACCTAGATAGGATTGTTTTCCTAACAAAATTCAACTTCCATTTAGGAGCTGTTCACTCCACAATGCCATGCGGGAATGGCGCATTCTGTGCGTGTTTCCCGCATCATGCTCAAAAACACTGCCCTTGCTATGTTCGGGTGCCAGTGTATTGTTAATGGCACCAAATCACACGGTACTTCAGTAGATTTGTACATGTTTCATTTATTTTAGGTACTTATATAGCGCTGTCAATTTATGCAGTGCTTTACACATATATTGTACATTCACATCAGTCCCTAACCCTCAAGGGGGCGTACAATCTAAGGTCCCTAACTCACATTCATACATACACATACTAGGGACAATTTAGACAGGGTCCAATTAACCTACCAGCATGTCTTTGGAGTGTGGGAGGAAACCGGAATACCCAGAGGAAACCACACAGGCACAGGGAGAACATGCAAACTCCAGGCAGGTGGTGCTGTGGCTGGGATTCGAACTGCCAGGCGGAAGTGCTAACCATTTAGCCACTGTGCCCCCCACTGGGGCATAGAGCCCATTCATTTGGAAGTCACACTGTAATGCAGAAAAAGCAATGCATGCACTTCTTTTAAAAATGTGCCACACCAAATTGCAGCACCATGTGATTTGGTGCAGCACATGTATATTAGTGGTGCATGCATTGCTTTTTCTGTGTTCCGGTGAGATTTGCAGCCCATTCAAATTGCACCACACAGGAATGCGCAGGATTCGCACAACAGGCGCACAGCACACATTCCTCAGTGATTCTGGTGTGAAATTGCCCTAGTGATGTTTTATTGTTGAAAATTAATTTCTCCAAAATATACACAGTACATGCACTCCTCTTCAGTCTATTTCTTCTTTTTTTTTTTTTACAGCAATTCCTGATGTGATGTGTGGACTGCTGTGAAGAATTTGTTTTATCTTGGATGGTCCATTTGTAGTTTTAGACATGGCCATTCCTATTACTATCTTGGACTGTGACCTACTGCTGTATGGTCGGGGACACCGCACACTTGACCGATTTCGGCTGGATGATGTCACCGATGAATACTTGCTTTCTACTTATGGTTTCCCGCGTCCTTTTATCGACTACTTGGTTGAGCTTTTGGGTGGAAGCCTGTCCAGACCAACGCAGCGCTCCAGAGCGATCAGCCCAGAGACCCAGATTATGGCCGCTCTTGGGTTTTACACCTCGGGGTCATTTCAGACACGCATGGGAGACACAATAGGCATCAGCCAAGCTTCCATGAGTCGCTGTGTCACAAACGTAACCGAAGCCCTGGTGGAGAGAGCCCCACAGTTCATTAGCTTTCCTCATGAGGAAGCTCCAGTGCAGAAGCTAAAGGATGACTTCTATAACTTGGCTGGGGTTCCTGGGGTACTGGGAGTTGTGGACTGTATGCAGGTGACTATCAAAGCCCCTAATGCAGAGGACCTGTCATATGTCAACAGGAGGGGTATGCATTCGTTGAACTGTCTTCTAGTCTGTGATGCTCAAGGGGTTCTACTCTGGGCTGAAACACAACGACCGGGCAGCTCACAGGACAATATTGTCCTTCATCAGTCTGAACTCTCCTGTTTGTTTGAGACAAAAATGCACAAGGAGGGCTGGATGTTGGGTAAGTCAAATTCTGAAGATCTAGGAGAACTGAATATGATATATGGGTGTGGGTGTTTCGCGATGTGGATGGTATATACCTGTGTGCCTTGAGAAGTCAGTATTTGTACCTGTGTACCCCAATAAGTAGATGTTTCTTACATGTATGTCTCAATCCAATGCCAAACATGCTTTGTTGTGGGATTATTGTTTTTTTGGTTTTGTAATATCAGCACATTAGGGCATAACTACAGTTTTTCAGGCAGACCCTGCATTCACCTCTATGGAGCAGCAAGTGTGAATGAACTTGTGTCCATTTACCCCGCCTATCTCTGATCCAATCCACTAAAAAAAAAATGGAAGGGGATTTGTTCCCCTCCATCTAGGCGGATCGGATTGGAGGGCAGTCGATCGGACATCCAGTCTGTTTACACACAGCACCCATAGGGCAGAGTGGGCTGTGTCCGTGTTCTCCCTGCATAACATGGACATGGACCTGTCAGCTATCAGATACCAGAGCTTCTGTGATCAATAGAGGCTTTGGAATTTTATAGAAAAGAAACCTGATTTTTGATAATGCAATCTCCAATCATCCAACTTGTCAACAGAGGCCGACGTAATATTTGACAGATTGGCCTACACAGAGGAAACATGGTCCAAGCTTCAGTACAGAACCAGGGGTGCAGAGGTGGTATTTACATCTTAGTTTCCTGTGTCCCACTGCAGAAATTGAAATAGAGCCACGCAGATCTAGCAGGCTAGTACCACTCGTATGAATGGCATAGTCTGTAACAAGGATAGCAACATCAACAAAGGTTCTAAAAGCTGGTAGAGAGCGGGGACGTCATTGCAGACGAGCACTATGGATCCAACCAAATCTTCCATTTTCGCCATTGGATATCTAAGTGCACATCTGTCGGCCTTGAATGTTGAGGGCGGCTCAGTGTTCTAGGCTCCTGTTTGGACATCCTTACTGTTCATTTAGGCTGGTATTGTAATTGCACACTGTGATTGGTTGGTGAGACAAATGCCCAACTCCATGTTGCACACCGCATGCATGCTCACCACCTTGTGCCTTCCCGCTTAATTTTTGTATACATACTTTTTTCTGTTGCCCTCTCTTAACCCCTTCACGCCTAAGGGTAAAACAAATCCTAATGCCTAAGCACAATTTGCAACATTGACATGTGTTAGTAAACCCGCGCATATTATCACAACTACTTTGTGCATCCAGGTGAATTATACATTGTTTTTTTCAGGACAAATTGGGCTTTCATTTGGTGGTAAATGATATCTCCTGATTTTTGTTTATTATCAAAGGAAAACTGGCCCAAAATAGTAAATAAAAATATTTTGTTTTAATTTAGCTGTGTGTTTCTTGTTACAACATAACCTACCACCAAATAACAACCCAAAATACATTTTCCAGCTCTTGACGATCACAGCGATACCATATATGTGTATGTTATCTGTTGTTTGTACCCGTAGTACAGCCCAGAAACAATAGTGCACATTTTGTGTTTTTGGTTTTGTTGTTTTTTTTTTTTTTTTTTACCTAAAACACACTGCCACTGACACCAAATGTAAAAAAAAAATATATATATATATATCTTGACTTTGACCCTGACCCAAACACTTACCCTGGCACTGAACTAGATCAAACCTTGATCTAGGTATTTTTTCTTTATTTTTTATTTTATTTTTTAATATTTATTTAGCTTTTTTGTTTTGTTTTTACAAACATTTTTTTTCCCCCTCTATGCCAGGAGTAAGATACAATGTATCTCTCTCCTCCATTCATAGAGAGAAAAAAAACCCAAGGGGGCCAGGCTGTACAGTGACTGATCACTGTGATAGCCAATCATTGGCTATCACAGTGATCATGCGACCCGGAATCGGGAGTCCTGGGTTCCGATCATTAGAATGGGACCCGGGGCCCTTAATGACACCCTGGTCTTTGTGCTGGGAACTTGTTGTGCGGCGCGCTCCCAGAACAAAGACAGGTACGCTAATATGTGGCCCCAATGAAAAAAGCCCAGTTCTGTGAGGCCGCATATTTGTATGACGTCGGTGTCAAGGGGTTAAGCTACATGATGCATAGGCGCCTCTTTCTTCTCCAGTTTCCTCCTGTGGTGGGCATTCCCTGTTTATAGCGTGCCATGACCCTGGGCAGTAGGAGACACGCTGGGCTCACAGGAAGACCAGCAGCTGGAGACAGGTAAGTCTTTGGGGGATGGCCCTGGAAAGGAGGTGAGTATTGCTGAATTTGTGTTGGGTTATTTTTCATTGTAAGGTTTAGAGTAAGTCATTTGTTTTGCATAAAGTAGCAAGGACTTTTTATTTCTATCCCTTTTTCCCCCCATAAGGAGGGTTTTCCTCACTTCCCATACCAGTGATGATGGTCACAGAAACCAAAAGTGGGGAGGGACCTATCCAACTGGGATACGGATAGCAACAAAACCATTTTAGTAGAGCGGGGAAAGGACAGAACTTCTGCCAGGTTTGTGTTGCAGTCAACACGCATCTTGGAGCAGGGTCACAGATACCTGAAAAAACCCAACAGAGGGTTAAATCCCATCCAATGCAAGTAAACTGCAATTATAATGTAAATACTCTGCTAATAGAAGTTTTTTTATGTTCTTGTTCACTGTATTATTTTTTTCTATTAACAGCGGACAGTGGATTTCTTCTCCGGCCTTGGCTGATGACACCAGTGCAGATTCCTGAGAGTCCCCAAGAATACCGTTACAATATGGCCCATACTGCTACTCACAGTGTCATAGAGCGCACCCAGAGAGCTCTTCGGCACCGCTTTCGTTGTCTGGATGGTTCCCGGGCTACTCTGCAGTACTCTCCTGAAAAGTCATCTCAGATTGTTTTGGCTTGTTGCATATTACACAACATTGCACTGCAGCATGGCCTGGACATTTGGTGTGAGGCTGGCTGTACTGCTCTGGAGGCCGAAGAGGACTGCAACAATATGGAAGCGGTAGAGACAGAAGCTTATCGCATGAGGCAGGAACTTGTCCTCACACATTTCAGCTAACTCCAATCTCAAATAACATTTTTAAATTACATTTTGTAATTATTTACAGTTAAAGTTCCATTAAAATATCTTTTCATTTCAATCTTTGGCCAGCTTTAAGTTTAAAAAAAATTGTTGGATTTTGCTTCTTTCAATGATGGTACCAGTACAGTGTTTGCATCATTTCCTAGAATTTTAACTGGCTTTTCCTAGAAGTGAGCTCAGCACGAGGTCAAATTCTGGGCATGACCGGTAATATCCTGCTTTAAATAATTTAAATAATAAAATGTATTATAAATAATAAAGTTAGATACATGCGGAGGTTCTGTACACCCAAAGGGAAGCTGGGGAGGGGAAGGTTTCATATACTACTATAATCAGGGGTGTATTTACCACAAGGCAAACAAGGCATTTGCCTAGGGCGGCATTCTTCATGGTGGCAGCACCACCACCCAGAAGAAGGGAAACATGGCATGGGCAGGTGGGATACAAAAGAGGCTGCAGGCTGCTTGACAGTGTATGCAGTGTCTGACTCTTCTTCCCAGGGATGTTTGGAGCTGTGAAGGTGAGTGTCTTTCTTTCCACGGGGAAGGGCAGGTGGGAGGTGGTTTGCTGGTGTATGGGGGGAGGTGGTATTGGAAGCCCCTCTTGGCGGGAGGGGGGGGGGGGGGGGGGGGGCAGGGGGTTGGTCAAAGTCAGGCTCTCTCTGCAGGGGGGGGGGGGGGGGATTTTTGTGTTGCCTAGGGCAGCACAAATCCTAAATACGCCACTGACTATAATACTGGAACTGATCAGGTGATTATAGTAGGCAAGCCCTGCCACTCAGAAACTGGCTTTCAGCAAGTGTACTGGAACGGCATCCTAACGTGTATATCTAGACAAAATCTTGTTTCTACGTTTGGATAGAGAGACAAAGAGTTAGATCCTCTGCCAAGTTTTTTTAAAGCTGTCTGTGTTCCAGCTGGGGAGATACACCCCTCTATTTTGTCCTGGTGATCGTTGTCATGGTGAGTTAAAAAAAGCAAAAGTTTGGAGTTGTCCACAGAACAAGAGGTAATGAGAAATCTTCCAATGGTGAGACATTGGGGACAACTGTCACTTTGGGAGATTTTATCTAACTCCCTATGTCTTTGGAACAAGGAGTAAAGGGAAATGTTCTCAATGGTACAAAGACAGCAAAAAAATAAAATAAAAAATGGGCAGGGGTTTTGACCCTTTTATTACTCTATCCAAAATTAAAAACAGTCTGTTGATACAATGAAGGAATAAGTATTTGATCCCCTGCTGATTTTGAATGTTTGCCCACTCACAAAGAAATGATCAGTCTAAAAATCGAATGGTAGGTGTATTGTAACACTGAGAGACAGAATAGCAACAAAAAATTCTAAAGAAATGCAAGTCTAACAAATGGCGCACTGATTTCCATGTTCATGAGGGAAATAAGTATTTGATTCCCTTCACAAAACATGACTTAGTACTTGGTGGCAAATCCCTTGTTGGCAATCACAGAGGTCAGACGTTTCCTGTAGTTGGCCACCAGGTTTGCACACATCTCAGGAGGGATTTCGGCCCACTCCTCTTGGCAGATCCTCTCCAAGTCATTAAGGTTTGGTGGCTGACGTTTGGCAACTCGAACTTTCAGCTCCCTCCACAGATTTTCAATCGGATTAAGGTCTGGAGACTGGCTAGGCCACTCCAGGACCTTAATGTGCTTCTTCTTGTATACACACACGCAATGTATATAGTTGACCTGGAGGGGATTTTTTTTTTTCTCAGTGAAACTGAAGTTTAAGACTTTCAAGCTGAATAATCAGTTCCAGATTAAACACACACCACATAAGCAGCTTTGCCCCCCCCCCCCCCCCCCCCCCCCCCACAATGGTATGCCCGCAGGAAATACATAGGGTGATGAACAGCTGACTTAATCTCGGATGATTACTTAGTTTAGCATCACACGCATGGTAATATATTGTACTGAATGAAAAAAAAATGTACATTGCACTAAACGGGGGTTATTTACTAAAAGGTGCAAAATTTGATGCAACTGTGCATGGAAACCAATCAGCTTCCAGGTTTTATTGCCAAAACTTAAATGAACAAGATTAAGTTAGAAGCTGATTGGCTACCATGTACAGCTGCATCAGTTTCTAAGAGCACCAGTTTTATTACATCTACCCAATGTGTCCACATTGTATGCAAGCAGTGTACATTGCACCGTATGCACAAACTCTAACACAGTGGTTCTCAACCTTCCTAATGCCTAACATAAAATTATAAAGTTTTAAATACTGCTGCTTTCACAGTATGCGTACACAAGCATTTACAGAGAGCTGCTATACATTAAAAGTACTGATTTATTGGAGAGTTCCGTTTAAATCGAGAACCACTGCTCTTGTAAACCTCGGACATTAAAAGTATATGAACGGTTATAAACCTCAGGTTACTGAACAAAGGTTAGTGTGTGCTTGTCTCAATCCAGAGCACCAAGTGTAATTTCTGTTTGCTGCCTGGTCCCTCTATTATCAACATGAGTCACTTCTGACAGGTTTTCCTGACACCAAGAGAAAAAAGGTGACGGGAGAGTCCTTCAGCACACAGCCTGTGATTGACAGCCTCTGCCTTGTTCCTCTGGTGTGTGAAAGGGAGTGTGTCCTTTCCCTCCAATCAGCTCTCACTGGACTCTGCTGAATGTAATTTCAGCTCCCCGCCCCCTACTTTCTGAAAGCACATAAAAGCTGTATAAATTCAGCACATTAGAGGGCTGCAGAATACAGGTGCAACTTATGTAGGAAGATTTGTTTAATCTCTGTGTCTCCTGAGGCCAGTCACTGCAACAGGTATATGTAAGGGTTTACAGCCACTTTAAGTCCACCTCACCATAACCTGTCTAGGTATATTTAGTGCGCACCTGTCACTATTCAAACTCCAAAACTAAGGATTACGTATGTGCAGGACACCTCAGGGGTTCAAGATGACCAGCAACCCACTCCATGCAAATTCTGTCTTATGGATAAGTTCATTTCTCTTGGTCAGTCTCCTGGGCTGAATGAGAGGAATCTATTGCTTTCACCCCTAACTTGAATGGGTGAATCTTCAACTGCTGCTCTTCCACTGTTTTTCATAGAAGATTTGTACCAGTTGATTGTGGGCCAAAGCAATTTTTGCGCACAACAATACATCGCCACCCGCCCATTTTCAGCTCTTGGTAGACAATACACATGGAAATCTATCATGGTTTCTGAATTTTTGGGGCCTAACCCTCACATGGGCATTACAAAAAAGAATGAATTGTGGTCATATTGGTCCACTACCAGATTCATCATATGCCCGTGTTCTCTGCTGTTAGGGCAGAGGAAAGATCTAGAGTCTAATAGACCCTAGATTTCTCAGAAAGGAATTCCTGTCACTGCCTATTGCTATCACGGGATATTTATATTCCCTACGATAACAATAAAAGTTATAAAAAAAGCAAGAAAGGAACAGTGTAAAAAAAAAAAAAATCACCCCACCTCCCTTCCACTGCGCAAAGGCGATTATAAGCGTTAGTTCAGTTTCTGAATTTGTGGGGCCTAACCCTCAACATGGGCATTACAAAAAGTAATGAATTGTGGTCAAATTGGTCCACTACCAGATTCATCATATGCCCGTGTTCTCTGTTGTTACATACTGTATATGCCCAACAAGGACCAGCAACATACTGGTACGTGCTGCTTTCTTGGGCTCACCCTTCCCACGGGGGAATCCAAGAATGCAGCCGACAGTTCCATCGGCTGACCATAGAGCTGATCGAAGACCAGAATGGTCATCATCTCTATGGTCTAAGAAACCAAAAGCTACAAGTATTTCATCATTTCTGTTTTGCCGGATATTAACAGGTCCATTTTTAAATTGGGAAAGCATCTGATTACACTGATCTTGGTGTGATGAGATGCTTTAAGGGCAGAGGAAAGATCTAGAGTCTAATAGACCCCAGATTTCTCAGAAAGGAATACCTGTCACTGCCTATTGCTGTCACGGGATATTTATATTTCCTGTTTTAACAATAAAAGTGATTTAAAAAAAAACAAGAAAGGAGCAGTGTAAAAATTAAAAAAAAAATCAAAATTAAAAAAAAAAAAATCACCCTGCCCCACCTCCCTTCCCATGCTTATGCGCAAAGACGATTACAAGCATCAGTCCCGTTTCGATATGTAAACAGATTGCAGCATGCATGTGAGGTATCACCATAAATGTCAGATCGAGGGCAATAACTCTATCACTAGACCCCCTGTGTACATATAAAGTGGTGACCTGTAAAGGCTTTTAACCTCTTCCCGCCCGGCCTATGGCCGAATGGCGGCTGGCAAAAACACTCACCTTTCTGGGTGGACGTCATATGGCGTCCTTTCGGGTATGCGCAGTTTGTGCGCCCGCAGAGCCATGAAGCGGCGCGATCTGTCACCGGCCGTGTACCTCGGACACGGCCAATGACAGATCTGAGTACCGGCCCCGTTGCTGATACCATGTGACCTGCTGTGATTAATCACAGCAGGTCACATGACAGTTGTATACAATGGATGGCTTCATTCATGCCATCCATTGTATACTAGTGTGTCTAGCTGTGAATGGTCACAGCGATCACATGCACAAGCTGGGCCAATCACAGCCCAGCTGTGTCATGTGATTAGCCGTGGCCAAACCACAGCTGAGCACAAATAAAAAAAACCCTGAATGAATCGATGTCATTCAGGTAAATGCTTGCTTATAGCAAAGTAATTCTTTGCTATAAGCAAATTGTGTAAAAAAAAAAAACAACAAAATACTGATCACTTCCCCAAAGTAGTACAATGTTACCATTGGGAACATTGTAGTACTTTGGTCATAGTGAAATATGAAAAAAAAATCTTTAAAAAAATGTAATAAAAAATTTAAAATAATAAAAAAAATAAAAAAAAGTATATTTTTTTTTTTCATACTGTTACCAGTCAGTGTCCCTGATCACCGCCATGCCAGTTATATGATGACGCTGTACTGCACTGGTG